GGGGTTTCTGGGGTTGCTAATTACGAATCTGAAGACAGTTTTTCGAAATTCAAAATGGTGGATCTTTTCGAGAGCATATTTTCGGGAACTAGACCCATTCTAATTGTCCAAGACAGGTGTGTAATTAAGGGAAAGTTCCCCAATAATGCCAGAGTAATTATATGTAAAAACAATATTTTTAGCTACATGTTAACATGTCAAGAAAATAAAAAAATTTAGAACATCAGCGTTTTTATAAAAAACCGACCAGCGCGACCTCTAAGAAAACTTTTCTTTCAAAATAAAAAAATACGTGTCTCTTTTTTTATCACAAATAACAATATTCTGATGTAGCGTTTATGAATTTCCAAAAGGACTGTTTTTATGAACCACTCTAATGTACACAATGCTTCTAGAGTAAAATATGAGCATCAAACTATGAGTAGAAACTATCGATATCCATATGCACTGGAAGAAGAAATAAATTCCCAGCTGAAGTGTATGTTATTTAACGGTATAATTAGGCCAAGTAAATCTCCTTACAACTCCCGCTTATGGATCGTGGAGAGAAAATCGAGTTGAGGTAACAAAAAGAAATGGCGTCTGGTAATATATTACCGGAAATAAAATACCCTTACTATTGGCGACAAATTTCCATTGCCAAATATAGAGTCACTCTTTGAAAATCTAGGGCGAGCACAATATTTCTCCTCAATTGGTCTTGCAAAAGGCTTTCACCAAACTTTGATGGACGAAAGCGACATAGAAAAAACAGTCTTTTCTGGACCAAATAGGCATTACGAATTTATGCGTAAGCCATTTGTTTTAAAAAACGCACCTGCCATCTTCCAGCGCATGATGAATACGATTTTGAGTGATTATATTAATAAAATATGCATTATTTATCACAGCCACAAACTATTTCGCTAGCTACATCAGAAATAATACACCATAACCACAGCTACATATTGTGGGCAGTTTAGAGCATTAAGAATATTTTTACTTTTTACAGCTCTTGCTACATACTTTTTATCACTTGTACGAAAACAATTTAAAAATACAGTACGAGGGAATCAAACGAAACCCGAAAAAATATAGGCCATACAAGAACTAAAATTATCGCGGACTGTAAAAGCAAGTCAATCCTTCCAAGGACTGACGGGATACCGCAAGTTTTTTGAAACTATTCTGTGATAGCATAATCAAATATTTGAGGAAAAATGAAAAAAATTATTTTAAGGGACAAAGAATATATCAGGGCGTTTGACAAGTTAAAACTTATAACGACAACACCCCCCCACTACTAGCATTTCCAGATTTTTCAAAGAAATTTGCTGTGATCACAGATGCCAGTAATGTTACGATAGGCAAGCCGATTTGCTTCGCTAGCCGCACATTAAATGGATCCGAAAGCGTTATCATACGCTGGAAAAAGAGCTCTTAGCAAGAGTATGGGCGGTGCGGTAACTCAGACCTTATTTATTCGGACGGTCATACAAACTGATCATCAACCCTTGAAATGGCTGTATTCCATGAAGGATCCAAGCGCCCGCATTTTAAGGAAGAAAACATTGCTTAGCGATAACGAATTTGAAGTTGAATACAACAAAGGCAAGAAAAATAATGTCCTTGACTTTCTACGTCGACAAAAAGATATTCACCCCTGTCACCGTTATCCATGTCGGCATAAATCGAGTCGACAGTGATTACTTCGAATCACCACTTCCGAGCTCGACTGTTAATCGAAACTGTCGCCTCCTTGTAGTCGAGTTTACATTCGAATGTCAAAAATAACGGAAAGCATTTGTTGAATAATTTTTTGTGGTCGTCAAGATGGAAAAAAATTTTAAAATTACAAATTTCAATCAATTCGAAACATTAGTGAAGTATATGGAAGACAATCCAAGTTTTGCACGAGGATTTAATAAAGGAGTTAATAAAATTGACGTCAAGCAAAAATGGAACTCACTCGCATTGACGTTGAACAGTATTGGACCACCAACACGAGACGGCGCAGGCTGGCAAAAGGTAATCATTAAAACTCAACGATTTTCTAGCTGACGTAAAACATAAAATTCTAGGTTTGGATCGACTTAAAGGGAAAAGTTATGAAAAAATAGTCCACAATAAATGCGAAGTAAACGCTACAGGAGGAGGCGTTTTTAATCAACAGTCGCTTTCCCCATTGGAAACCCGTGTCGCCAATGTAATGTGCTTTAATGAGATGCTAAACCCAGTTGGCGTAGCCTTAGGCACCAGAAATATCGCACAAACAAATGCATCCACATCTTCAGGAACAAAGCCATCTGCGCCACTAAATCCCATATCAACTCCATCACCGGAAGAGATGATATTAATGGATTTGTTGTCCGACGAAGGAATAGCAGAGAATGTTGCTGGTTCCAACTATTTACTTGAAAGCGCTAAAGAAAACCAAGTAAAGAGTCAAGAGGAACTTCTCGTGGATCAAATAGATATTCAGAGGAGTTTTTACAACGAAGTTCGACTGAGTTTTAAAAATATTGAGGAGCACATGAAAGATTCGAAAGAGTTTCAACATAAATTGCTACACCTGGAGGATGAAAAGTTAAAATTAGGTAAAGATAAGTTTGAGTGGAAGAAAAAGAAAGCTGAAAGAAAGGCAAAAAAAGTCTGAAATGATTGTAATTTCGTTTATTTTTATTGCTCAATAAACACTGAGTTCTTTATTCCGTCTCTTATGCAAATTGCTACATTATTATTGTCAGAACTTGTTGGCACATCTAGGTTTAAATGTGTTCCATCGCTCTCCTGGTTTTCTAATTGCCAGATGCAGGGAGCATTGTAGAACAAACAAATGTTATGTAACGCAGCACATACGTTAACAATTTTTGTTGCTTTTGTTGGAGAGTAATGCAGCTGACGAGCAGAAAGCAGGCACCGGAATCTATTTTTAAAGACCCCGATGGTTCTCTTCACTATGTTCCGTGCTTTGGCGTGTGCAATGTTATACTTGCTCTCCAAGCTATTCAGTTCAGCTGCCCGATACGGTGTCATTAAAAAAGGTTCCAGAAGATATCCTGCATCGCCTATATTGCACAAAAAAATTACTATAAATAGAACATAATCGTTAGACAACCTGCCTAAAATCAGTGTTGCCATCTTTTGATTTTCAAAAAGCACCAAAAACTTGGAAAAAAAGCCTTTTACCACACTAAAAGCACCAACTTTTTTTGAATCAAGGGATGCTTTTTTCATAACATAATACCGAAGTACTGCACATTAAAACTGGTATATCTCGAGAAAGAAAAATGGAATCGCAACAAACGAAAATGATGCCCTAATTAGAAATGAGCAAATAATTTGATGTTTTCACTATATAACCTCAAATATCGCTAAAAACCGTGTTTTTGGCACTTTGGGGTTAGGATATCTCAAAATTCTAGTGCCAGAGCAACTCGGAGGCCAGATTTGGATTCAGCACCAAGAAACGATGTGTTTTACTCAGGTGGTAATGAAAAAGAAAACCGGTCCAAATAATTAGAAGAGAAAAAAAGACATACTTAACATACTTACGTACTAGCATTTTCAACGTGAATAGAATTTAATAAGGTGGGTTTGCAACTTCAGCTTTTTATCAATCATGGTTGTATTTTAGTCCATTTAAATTTTCATTATTTCAGGTTTTAACTATCTCGAAGTAATTTTAGTTCAGAAAAAAGCACTAAAAAAGGCACTTGGCACTAAATAATTTTATTTGGCGTTTTAATTTTCAAAAAGCACTAAATCTAGTGCTTAAAGCACCAAGTTGGCAACTAAGCCTAAAATCCACAAATTCCTTTCCCCAATCTCGTAGTTTTGAATGGCCAAAGATTGATGTAAAGCGATCCATAGCTCTCACCCGGCTGGACCGCTCCTCTCTCAGATTAGTAGTCGGGGTAATCACCGGACACTGCCTGATGGGCACACACGGAAAGAGGTTAGGATACCTCACCAACGATTTCTGTCGCCGTTGCAGAGACGAGGAGGAGTTGGAGACCATCGAACACTATCTCTGCCATTGTCCCGCCCTGGCCAACATGCGCAACCAATTCTTCAACAAGTACTTTGTAGAGTGTTTAGCCGATTTGAACTCGGCGAACGTTCTCGACTGTTTGTGCTATATAAAACGCACTCGGTGGTTCAATTACTAAGGGAGGGAAAGAAACAAATGGCTTCGGCCAGTGGTATCACAACGGGCTTTTCCAGCTCACGTGTGCTCCGCGCTCTGCGCGGGGCAGCCACTCTAACCTAACCTAACCAAACCTATGTATGTACTTACAACCATTGCGTTCAGACTGGTAACCCCTTTCTGTTGAAATACAAATATTGCTGATCCCTACACGGAGTAATTATTCTAATTTGGGTACCATCCACACAACCAATAACCCCAGGAAAGTGAGTATTTTCATAAAAATGTTGTTTTGCTTCCATCTTTTCTTCATTCGTCATTTCCATTGTTATCCACTTTGGACAAATTTGTTCTTCCAGACAATCTAGCACCTCCTTTAGGACTCCAGACATAGTCGACTGCGCAATACCTATATTAAAATCATTACCGGCTCCAAGTTGATAGCTTCCCTCCACTAGAAATCTTAATGTAGCTGCAAATTTTAATTCTGCCGACAAAGCGGATGTACGGGAACGTTTCTTCAATTTGTCTTTGACTTCAGTTAGCACGTACTTGAAAGCATCTTTTGTTAATCGAAAATGTTGCACAAATCTACAGTTATTGAAACATTAAAAGTTTTGAATTATGACTAGAAATTTGGGCTCACAACTCACTCTTTATCACACATTTTTAAGAAGTTGGAGCGGTTTCTTATGTTTTTTCGAGACTGTGACAAGTTATCAGCAGATCTTTCTTCATTTCCAAAAAATATAGCAATGGTATTTATTTATTTAAGCCTTTTGTTATTCGATAGAAACGGTTCATTCAGCATGCAAAAATTTAAATAATCATTTCCTTATCTCGGAATCAATAGTAAACAAGTAATCAACTCAAACACGCCTGGTGAAAAATAAAACCGATGAAAGCGAAATATTATACAACAAATACCAAATAGTTTATATATAGGGTTGCCAGATTTTTTATGCGCGAAATCAGTACGTTAGACTTTTTCATACTAAAAAATCAGTACTTTTCAGTAAATTTCTATTCAAAGTAAAATTATGGATGTAAGTAACAGATAATACTTGAATGACATTTTTGAATGTCTAATGAAAGTTTAAATAGTCAAAGAATTCTATACATTTCATTTTAAAATAACTTTTAATTTGAAGTTCACTTTAAGAAATTTTAATTGGAAGCCGATTTCTCTCTTTGTGTCAGGAAGTAAACTATATACTTAAGATTATCTCAGTTGTTAAAATAAACTAAATTATATATTTTTTCAAACTGTGAAGAAGTACCACTATTTAAGGACTTCATCTATATTTCCTCATTTCTTAAATTAATTTTTTCAACTACGCAAAAATTTTGAAAGACTAAGAATTCGCTAAAAAGAGTATCTAACTCTTTGTCTCGTATACAAAACTCTTTTACAATGTGTGAAAAAAGAATTGTAATTTATAGGCAAATTTGTTGTTATTATACTGAGAGTTTGTTTCGAGATAACTTACAACACATGACAAAATTAATTTAAGCTCTATCATATTATCGCAACTGGTTCGTAATACCCGATGATATTCCCGTAAAACGATTGATATTTTTGTTGTATTAATTTCTTGCGAATATCAAATATTATCTGAAACATTTCAACTATAATTAAATTCTTTTTGGTTGTTTGTGTTTCCGACAGGGTAGGAGTATGATGTATTGTGGAACGATTTTCCGTCATCCCTTGTCAAATTTGGTTTGGAGACAAACCGGTTTCGGCGTTGTGCCATCTTCAGTGTCATTTTTCGTTCTCTCATTTTTCTTGTCTCCAATTCAAATTTGACAAGGGATGACGGAAAATCGTTCCACAATACATTATAATTAAATTATTTTCTTCCTACTTTTTACATTACAGTTTAAGGAAGTTGCAACGTTATGTAAAGACCTTAAGAAAACCCTAAAGTATTTTGCTTGAATTTAAAATTCAGTACAAATCAGTACACATTTTGAAAAATCAGGACAATAGCGTACCGATTGAAGAGATAAAGAAAATCAGTACAAGAGTTGAAAAATCAGTACTATACTGATAAAATCAGTACATCTGGCTACCGTATTTATATAGCCCAAGCAGATTTACACAAGAATACTTACCTTACAGATCTATTTAGAAAATATTTAAAGAAGGGAACAATAGGAATTCATTCAGAGTTACCTAATAATCTAATATTGTTCAAGAACAATTAATAAGCTTATTTTCAAATGACAGTAAATGACGTTGGACATGAGAAGGAAAGGTGGCGCTTTCCGCGGACCGCTAGTCCTCCCTGTCTAGATTTGACAGCATCCACCCTTTCGCTGACGTCACATTATTATTTTTTCGCACTAATGATGAATATTAAATTTGCATATTGTACCAGTTTGCCGAAAAGTTGTACCTAAAAGTAGATATACGTACCTAAACAGTAAACATGTATTTTTAAGTGCATACATTTTTGTTAGTTGGTGGACTACATCTTCCTTTTGTACTATAACGATTTTTCTACTTACATGAAACAATATTTTACTACGTTCCAAATGTACCTAAAATGATGTGCTTGTACCGAATGTACGTTCAAATTTAAGAAGCTGAAGAGTAGGTACAATTCAACCCAGTTTTACATCACTATTCCGCACTACTGGTTCGTTTCTTCCTCTTCTTCTTCAAAATTATTCTTTACACTCTCATTCTCAAAATAATGTGACGTCATACCCAGTTGCTCTCAGCTCGATCCTTGGTTTTAGAGGTAGTGGAAAAAAATTCAAACTGAAGGAAATCATAGGCGAGTGTTAGAAAGTTACGAGCAAATGAAGTTTAATTTTTTTTATCCGAATCTTAAAAAGGTGATCAACAGATTTATTAATTCATGCGATGTGTGCAACGAGAACAAACGCGCGAGAAAGTCGTTGAAAAAAACTGTTAAATTACAAGGAAACTCCTAGTGGTCCGAACGAAATAGTACACGCCGACGTTTTCTATTGTTTTCGCACATGTTTTCTGACGACTATCGACAGGTTCACCAAACTAGCTTCCGTACATAAATTACGCGATAGAAACATGATCACCATAAAAATTAAACTCTAAGAAATACTGGCTTGGTTAGGAAAATCAGAGAAATTAATAACGGACAACGAGTTTAATAACTCATTTATAAGCAGTGTTGCCACGGACAATTTTTTTTTCCTACCAAATGCAACCAAACCTTACCAAAAATTTTTTAGAGTGGTTAATAACGTTTTCAATGTCAAGCTTATTAAAAATGTGGATGAGATAACATTTAGTAAACCTAAAACAGAGCTAGTACAATAAAAACAAATTAACTGCGTATAACAATTAATTTTACTGTACAGACTTATGCAAATGTGTGTTGGCTTTACACATACATACATATTATTAACCAACTTCAAAAAAGGAGAAGGTTATCAATTCGTCGGAATATGTTTTTTTTTATGGTACTGCATAACTTTGGACCACGTCAACCGATTTCTATAATTCTTTTCTATAGGAAAGGTAGAGTCTCACAGGTCGTCCCATACTAATTTTGTTTAGATCCGATCATTTGATCATCATATAATTAACGGTATTCCAAAATTTGTATACATATGAGAATCAAAGATGTTTCAACTAAAATTCACATATTTTATTTAAATAAATCACACCTAGAAAGACTAGTAAATTCATTAAATGAATCTCAAAAACAGAGACTGGTAAATTCATTACAAATTATTTTTGTTAAAAAAAAACTGTAGTTGTTCGTAGCTAAGCTTTACATCAGAAGTCATGCTTGTATTACTTAAATACAAAAAAAAAGATCATTTACAAACTTATGGCGTTTTCTTTTCTATTGAAAAAGTTTGCCTTCTAGATCGCTCAGATCAGATCGTTTTTTATGTTTTTAATAATTAAAATATTTAATTTTATTTTGATGTCCATATATTCGAAACGTTCCCGTGTTTAATGGCCTCTCTAATCATGCCTGATAAAATTATTAACAGTTATTGTCTTCCCAGAGAGTTTGGCTTTATTTCGTTATTTTTTAAGTGTTGCGAATTAAACTTCACAATTAAACTTAAGAGATTCGTAACAAAAGTTGTATGAAGAAAATTACCGCTTCGTCCTTCTTTGGAAAAAATACAGTGACCCAAATATCAAGTGGGACGTGGGAGTTTCGACTATTTATTTATTATTATCTTACGAAAATATAGCTGATGAGTTAACAAGCATCATACAAATCCAGACTTCAAACACTGTGTAAAAATTATGAAAATTCTTCACAATTTAACCAAAATTTGTAACTTTTTAATCCACATCTTAAGAAGAATTATAGTATGCAGTTTTAAAGTCTATTAAATTTTAATATAATATGGTGCAAATTTGAAGTAGCTAGGACTTGGCGTTGATCTTTGGCAATTACAGATTATATGTTCCAAATTCAACTGTGACGGGTGTGACTTGACTTTGTGACGGGTGTGACAAGTTGAGCATGAATACATAAATATACATTATTAGACAACTAAACTAACTTTATTTCTACAAAAATCGGATTTTACGAACACATACAAGATTCTACCACCTAAAGACGGGATAATCCTTGATCGGACTCTTCATCTCCATTGTATGCCTCAGTAGTTATAAAGTACCTTATTATACCTTTCATGAGCATGAAATGGTATTATAACTTTGGTCCGATGTTTGTAAGTACCAGAATAAAAAGAGGTAGAACCATTAAAATGTATACTTAAATGATCAAAACGTCGAGTTGAGTCGATTTAGCCATGTCCGTCTGTCCGTCTGTTTGTATGCAATCTAGTCTCTCAGTTTTCGAGATATCCGGATGAAATTCGATAGGTGGGTGTATTTTTATAATGTATTTATCATTTATCGGAACCGGATGAATCGGACCATTATAACATATACCTCCCATACAACTGATTGTTCAGTTTTGAGAATTTTCGTTATAACTCCTCCATTTATGCAGCTACGAACATGAAATTTTGCAATACTTCCACGCATTATCAAAAGAAAGCTTAGAGTGAAAGTTATAAAAATCGGGTAACTATAAACTATAGCTCCCACACAACTGATTGTTCAGATATAATATTTTTCGTTATAACTCCTCCGTTTAAGTAGCTAGGAGTATGAAATTTCGCACTGTTGTCACCCATTATCAAAAGAATACTTTCAGTGAAAATGGCGACGATCGGGTTGCTATAACCTATAGCCCCCATACAACTGGTTGTTCAGATATAAGATTTTTGCCATAACTTCTCCATTTATGCAGCTAGGGACATAAGAACTCACTATTAACAAAATACTTACAGTGAAAATAACAACGATCGGATCACTATAACGTATATCTCCCATACAACTGATTGTTCAGTTATGAGAATTTTTGTTATAACTCCTCCATTTATGTAGCTACGAACATAAAATTTTGCAATACTTCCACCCATAATCAACAGTGAGAATAGCAAAGATCGGGTCACTTTTACACAGGGGCGCACCCAGGAATATATTTTAGGGGGGGTTTTATATTTCTGAAGATATATCACCGGAAAATACTGAAAATTTGCTTCAGATAATACCCTCTTTAAAATACATTTATGCAAGTTTTATGTACAGTATGTAATAAATAAATAAACGCTTTAAAATTCATAAACTGCACTTTATTTACAGATTAAAAGAACTCAAACGCTTTTAACCGACTTCAAAAAAAAGAGAGGTTATCATCTCACCGGAATACATAACTTTGGACCACGTGAACCGTTTTCAATAATCCTTTTTTATTAGAAAGCTAGTACCTCAAGGTTCGTCCCGTAATTTGTTTTAGAGATCCGATGATTGGATCATGAAGAAATTAACGGTACCCCTAAATTTGAATATGAGAATTGAAGTCGGTTGTGTTCTTTCCTTAAAAACTACTTGTTTAATAAAAAGTTCTATAAACTCAAGATGCGCTCAACTTTCAAAAGTACCTAATAAAAAATTTTAAAAAAGAGTCAGTAAAAATAAATTTATTGATTCCATGAATTTTTGCACTTCTATGTTCATTTTTTCGATTTCTGGTTTTCGATAGAGATGGTGATTTTTCACGATTGCTGAATTTTTTTCATATTTCAAATACCGAAAAAATTAACTGAACTCTCAAGAAAAACGAAAAATTCATATAAAACGACGGACGAGAAATGGAAAAGAAATTTTCTTCTACCAAAATTTCTTAAATCAGTTTGCAGCACTCAAGAAAAAAATGCTCGTATATTTATTCTCTCATGAAAATTTACAGCAAAAGCAAAGCGCTTTTTCAAGCAACAGAAAGTATAATAAATATTTCTTATAATTTCCTTGAGAGCTGGATTCTTAGCTTTAAGATACAGATTGTATTTGAGGTTATTAGCTTTAGGGGGGTTTGAACCCCAAAACCCACCCCTTGTGTGCGCTAATGCTTTTACATATAGCTCCCATACAACTGATTGTTCCGATATGCTATTTTTTGTTATAACTCCTCCATCTATGTAGCTGGGAACATGAAATTTCGCAATATTTCCACCCATTATCAAAAAAATACTTACAGTGAAAATGGTGAGGATCGGGTCGCTATAACCTATAGCCTCCATACAACTGATTGTTCAGATATGAGATTCTTTGTTATAACTTCTCCATATATGCAGCTAGAAACATGAAATTTCGCATTATTTTCACTCATTATCAACAGAAAGTTCACAGTAATATTAACAATGAGCTGGTCACTATAACCTATGTATTCATTGCCTCAATACAACTGATTGTTCAGATATGGGGTTTTACTGTAAAACTCCTTTATTTTCACAGCTAAAACTAACAAATTTCGTAATTATAAATAATAATACAAGGTCTACTGAGAAAATCGTCAAAATCTATGCTATATCAGCTTTATCTCTTATACCACTGATTGTTCAGATACCAGTTTTTGCAACATATCTCCTTTATGTAGGAAGCTAAACTCATTAAATTGTGTTACCGGTTTACATACCGATCACACAGCAGTAAAAGTCACTTAGATTGGTGCTATATAAGGTATATCCTCTAATTGTTTAGATATAATTTTTTATATGCCTCTCTATATATGTATGCTGTGAATATATAAATTTTTTCAAATGCAGTAATCTGTTAAAGTAAAATTTTTAGATGTTCATGAAAGGTATGAAGCCTTCGGCATAGCCGAAGAGAGCGCTACTCTTACTTGTTTTTAAATAGTATGAAGCTCTATCAAACCTAGGCCATTACATGTAAAACCCGTTTTAGATACCTTTTATGCGTGACAGCATAGGTTAAGTTTTCCCATCGCACGAGCAACATATCTTTATGATTAGCTTTATCATCGCTGATCACAAAGAGAAAAATGTTATTCAATACTGTGTTACAACGCGCAATTTAATGTTTAATACAAATGAGGAAATTCCAACTTGAAAATAGTCAAAAGCTATTCATCATTTGGCTTATAGTCCGTATTCAAAATTATTAATATGTACATATAAGTACGTATTTTGATCACAACAAAGAGTTCGTTAAAAAAAAAAAACAAAACACGAAGCCGGTGTTATTTTTTTGAAGCGTAAAATTATTTCATAATGCATATCCGAATACATATATAAAATTAAATCATAATTCTTTTTACTATTAGTACTCAAAATAATTGTTAAGGAATGTTATTAGTTTTCATACTTTAAGGGTGGCAGAAGTTACAAGTGGAAATTAACGTAAACAAAGTTCGGAATCTGGAAGTGCTTTTTTTACAGATAACTTTTGAGATATTAAGAAAAGTTAATTTAAGCTCCCGGATTCGAAACATTTTAGGGTTAAGACGCGTCGACCAAATTTGATGATTTTTTACAGGTCTAGGTAAACTACACAATTGCAGTGACAATAATGTCAGAAAACATGTTGCCAGATATGAATTTTTAGTACAAGAAGGATTGAATGTTGTATTTCAAAAACAAAAGGAAAATAAGACCATGCGGCCTTATTGCGTATGTTATTGCACCCTACCTTTTACTCCAATGTACGCTTTTACTTACTTAACGAAAGCAGTGAAGTCATTAAGAGCTAGTTCACAGCCCGGCCAATGGCAAATTCCTTGCGCAAATAGCGGGTGATAGTACTTATTTTGGCTGTATGTGCTTGTGTTGCTACCAGAAGGGGTAGAATTTGTGGCAATGACGTTTGGATCACTATTATCGTTACTGCAGCCACTGTTGCCGCTAATTGCATCTAACAGGCTTCCAAAGTTTTGCGTCATCGGCGCACTATTGATGCTGCCACTGCTTGCAGCTGCTGCCGCAGTTGCTACTGCCACGGCTGCAGCGGCATTGCAAGCGGACGCTTGTTCGAGCGATGCAGTAGCTGCTACTGTTTCATGGAGCGTCGTTGGTTCGCCAGTTGTTGGAGGCACTGATGCAGACGACAAAGTCGTCATTGACATTGTTGGTGGTGGGGGCGGCAGCGGCAGTGTTAATATAGGCGACGATAAAGTGATTGTACTTAGTCTCAAAGAATGTTTATGTTGCTGTTGCCGTTGCGGTTGCTGCTCTTGGTAAAATGAGGGTGAAGTCATATTGTTCACCGGTTTAGCGGCCCCGTGATATAAACTGGATGATTGCGCCGTTTTTGGTATGAGTTCGCACTGCATGTGGTATTGTGCAATGATCGGAGGTGTCATTCCCCTTATTTTTTGCCTACTATTACCATTTGGGCATATATTTCTTTTGGTAATACTACTGTTATCAGTGCCGTTGTCAACTGTGCTGTTCTGATTGCTATCGCTACTACCTCTGCTGCGGCTCCTGCTTCCTTCACTGACATCTCTAGGTTGGTAGTGCATATATGCTGTTAAATAAACAAAAAACGTTAAACTATAAATTTATCAGCAATATATAGTTATTTGGATCTTCTTGTTATCCAGTGGATATTTATGACAATATTACATAAATAGTATGCGCTCATGAACAACAAGCATTGATTAAATAACCATTTATAGCTGCCTTGATATTACTTATTTGGTCAACGGGATTAGCCAAAGAATTGATGTCGTCCATTCCAATGGCGTTTGAGTGCTGACTGCTGCTGTCATTGATATCTTCGTCAACCGAGGAAGGTGGCGATGATGCCGCCAAACAGAGCTCTCGTGTATTATGTTTCAATGCGTGCTGAGGGTTTGGTGAAGATATATTTTTTGAATCATGTTTTGTTCTGAATAATCGTACTTTAGTGGAAGGCTGACAACCAGATATTCTGAGTGTATCGTTTTCAGTTCTTTCCGGCATCGATTCGTCCTCTTGAAAGATATAAGTGGCATGCTCGGTATCATCAACTTGTGAATTTATTTTAGTCATATCGCAAGTGTGGTGTTCTCTTTGACAATTTCGATGTTGTTGTTGTGCCGTGTACGTATTTACATCAAAAGCTTCTGTGTTTCCCTCCTCACTACAACCAGTGTTCTGTCGATGATGTCCAATATTACTACAACCATCTGTGGTGGTATATGAGGGAGTCATATTCGTTCGAGTAACGTATTGTTCTGGCACCTGTTTGTCGTCTTTAATACTGTAAATATTTACAGGCTCGAAACCATCGCACAAAACTTCTTCATCACTTTCTCCATAAGGTTCGCTTAGAATCGACGTACACTCTGATTCGAATTTCGATGAGAGTTCCTCCGAATCTTGTTCTTCTTGATCAGCTGTTGCCCTCATAAGCTTCACATAGTTTTCGCTATCACAAGCATTAGGTATTCCATTATTTTTATTACTATTGTTGACGCTAACATGGAAATTCTTTATTTTACTATTAACTGCTTTTTTATTTATTGTTTCATCGTATTGCCGTTGATGTTTCTGCTGTTGTCGATACTCAGAAGTTGGTTTCGTTAAATGTTGGTAATTTTGAAAATGCATTTGCTGTGGCCATAAATGACTTGATTCGAAATAAGTGGAACTGGCTTTAGCTAATGAATGGGAATTTTGAAGCGGCAAATGCAGTTCCTGCTGCTCATGCGGCGAAGAGCTGCATTGTGATACGGTGTTATTAACTTGCATTTGATAATCCAACTGCAATCGCTTCAGAAAACCTGAAATATATAGATAAATAAATAGTGAGAAACCTAAGGAATATAAACGCTGTAAAATTTTTTATGTTGTAGATATGAAAGAAATAATTTAATTACACGGTGCTATAAAAAAATCACGAAATACACCCGAAACAAAATTTAGTTTAGGTTGTAAGTAGGGTAATGCAACATGAAAATAAGTCTCTTATTGTTCCTGAACCATCTTATTTTTTTACAAAAAAAAAAGTAATTTTCGTACATAATATACAGATCTGTTAACAGCTTGGCTGTTTTTCATCTGATTTTGAAAGTGATATTTATATCTCTTTCAAATGATGTATAAAAAAATGTTGTTAGGCTTAGCTTGTTGGGAGTTTTCAACGGTTAATGTTTGAAAAAACCTCCATTTTCCTAATTTTTTCCACTTGAACCATCGCTTATATAAAACATTTTTATGAGAGTTCCCAAATTGCATATAGTATTTGTATAAAAGTACATTTATTTTCAAACAAATTGATACCTTATTCAATGAATTCGGATAAAAATCATCGAAGTTACGCAATTTAAGTAGAAATACTATGTGTGTATGTACCAAATTTACCCAATCATGATAATAGCTCTTTAGGAAAAAATTGGTTTTTATAAAATTTTTGTGCGGCACGCTATATTTCGGGGCTAACTTTGCCGCGAAGTTGTCTACTTCCTTCGATTGTGGGTGCTCTCTAAGTGGATTGCAATGTGGTGCTTGTTCCGCCGATGCCGCTTTAATTTTGACAATTTCTTTACTATTGTAAGCTTCTCGTTTGGCGTCATCGAGTTTTGCCCCGTGCCGTAAGTAGTCTCATCGTACACTGCCTTGAGAGTCGCACCTCGCGTTTTAGCATTACAGGTAGTCCCAGTTCCGTAGTCCGTCGCCAGTATACTTCGCTATAATACGTTGTACGTGACGGCTTCTTCCCTCTGCCGGGTTTTATTGTGGGGTATAAGGAGCGGTGAATTGATGTCTTACCCCATATTGCTCGACGGTTAATGCCCGACTGGTGAATTGTGCTCCCGTATCCGTGACCAGGATTTCGGAACGCCGAATCGTGCCCGGACTTGCTCAGGCTCTCAGCGTCGCCTTCCAGAGTGGTACGATCTTTATCCAATTAGAGAATTTGACGTGGAACACAAGAGTATCATTGTCATAGTTCCCAACTTGTTGCTTTAAGCGCTAGATTTAGTGCTTTTTGAAAATTAAAACGCCAAAAAAACGCGTTGAAGATGCTAGCACGCAGGTAAGTTAAATATTTATTTTTTTATTTTCTTGATTTGTTGATTGATTACACAGTTCGAAAAGTTGTAACTTTTTTGTCACCTGAGTGCATCGGTTCTTTTGGATTGTTCGGTGCTGAAACCAAATCTGGCTGTAGAATTTCTCTACCACGTCAGAATTTTGAGGTATCCTAACCGCTAAGTGTAAAAACACGGTTCTTCGCGATACTTGAGGTTATATTATAAAACAATAATTATTTTCGCTCATTTCTACTTAGGGTATTGAGTATTAAATACACTTCGCCTTTAAAATTCAATTTCGTTTGTTGCGATTAGATTTTTCTTTCTCCAGATATACCAGTTTTAATGTGCAGTACTTCGGTATTATGGAGCAAAAAGTTTTGTGTATTTACTTATACTTGAAAGTATTGTTAATTTTTTTACTTTTGTTAAACACAAACTGTTATGAAAAAAGTATCCTTTGATTAAAAAAAAATGTTGTGCTTGTAGTGTGGTAAAATGCTCTTTTTTCCAATTTTTGGTGCTTTTTGAAACTCAAAAGTTGTTGCCGTGTTTTGGTCGTGGCAGCGGCCCGACAATATTTGACAGATAAAAGGGTGGCCCAAGGCTCGTCCGCCAGTTGGGTAAACATATTTCCCCTCTGCTTCCTGTTGGTTGGGTTTATACAGCTGGCACGACTGACAACGTTTCACGTATTTCCGCACATCGCGGAACATGTCTGGCCTGTAATATCATGCAGAGTCTCTTCTGATGGTCTTTCGTATGACCATGTTTTCAGCGGTGGGTGTGACGTTGACTTCATGTAGCCGCCGTTCCCCACTTTCGGGCTTCCACCATTTAGTTGGGAAATTTAGTGGATTTAGCACGTACTTCCCATATCTTCTCCTCTTGCTTGGTTCCAGGCCCAAGAACTCTTTAACCTCGAAGATCTCGGTGTACAACGGGTGGTTGACCACATTTGGTGGTTGCAGAGTTTTCTGGTGGTTCTTGCAAATTTGATCAGCCACGGTAATGCATGTGACCTCCCCTGAAGGCGTATCAGTCGTTTCTGGCGTCAACGACTCCCCTCGGCACCGTATGGACCGTCCATCCCGATGATCATATCGTCTGCACGTCGTGGTAGGATTAAAAGCTCGCTTTTGTGGTCTTCGTCATACAGACCGATTGTCGCATCCAGTGGCGTAGCCAAGGGGGGCGGGGATATGGGGGGATAGATCCCCCCCTTCATCATTGAACTACAACTATTTACTTTTGAATTAATAACACAATTTGTTTTTGTTATTTTTTTGGCCTTTTATAACAATTATATTCAACAATTTATATTGAGCTTAAAAACGGCCTCGAGCTCAATATAAATTGTTGAATATAATTGTTATAAAAGGCCAAAAAAATAACAAAAACAAATAACTTAAGGACGAGCACACCTATACGTTAAACATTCTAAAAATATAATTATTAGCAAAAACCAACAATACCAACAACCACATGATCAAGTGAATTGCAGCGGAATAGCTGCGCTTGATTGTGTTGGCATAACAAAAATGAAAATAGTGGAAAAAAGCAAACGATAATTTACAAGGCGTACTTAGCACGGTGCATAGGCAACTGGCTGAGTCAGTGGGATCGTCGGTTCGAATCCTACTGAAAGAAGTCTGATGAGGAAATGTGGTGATTTCCGAAATAGCTATCATTCTTCTAAAATTTTTTTAAATTATCGTTGCTTTTCCACAATAAATTTTCGTTTAAAAACGGCCTCGAGCCCAATATAAATTGTTGAATATAATTAATAACACAATACTATTTTGTCCTTCTGATTTAAATTTTTTTTTTATTCCAGACGGATGACAAATTATCTTTTAATGAAGATATGAGTACGTAGTCCACTTGCAAACAGCGTTATGTGATTTTATAAAAGTAAACCGTAAATTTAAAAAAAACGTCTACGACAACAAGTAACATCCGAACTGTACCTATTACCTGAAAATTTGGATAAATAAGAGCCTAATACCATTAAAAAAATTAAATTGCAGTATGGTAGATTTACAAATTTTATATTTAAAAATTTAATATTGCAAGTTTTGAAACAGTAACTTTTACATAGCTACCTTTTTTTTGCTTTTCGCGTTCTCTCCTCTAGGAAGATTGGTTTGCTTCGTTTTTGCGACCTCTTCCACTAGGCACCGAAACTACCACGTTTTCTTGCAGTTTTCTAAGTTCATACGAAGAGGAGACATTTGAAAGTGTATAAATTGGTATTATAGCGACTTTTGCAAGAGTAGTTAACATTTCATGCTATTTTTTTCAGAATATAGAAAAATTTTTCACTCTGCTGTTAGTGGACATGAAACCCACCAAAAACTAGAAATCTAAAAAAAAATTACATAGCGCACTTTGCAAGTGGACTACTCCATTGTTGAATATGCTATCTTATTTGTCCCTTCTTTTTATACAATTAAGGAGCGGCTGAATGGTCTAACGATGTTAGCGGTACATAATGATGTGCCGATTACAACACAAGAAGTAATTGAAACAAGTAAGAAAGTCTAAGTTCGGGCGGAGCCGAATATTAAATACCCGGCGCAAGTATTAAATATATGTTTTTTCACCCTTCCGAAACCTTCCGCTAGATGGTAAGCCGAGGTGTATCAATTTTGAGTAAATTAGCGTCCTTCAATTTCGAAATATTGAAGTTTCAAGCATTTCTTAAATTTACCGTTATATGAGAATCGGCCGTTATTTTAGTCCGATTTCAATAATTTTCAACGTTTTGCTTACACGTGGCAAGTACAATAACCATACCGAGTTTGGTACAAATTGGTAGAACGGTTACAAATTTTCATTTAAAACGGCCTCGAGCTCAATATAAATTGTTGAATATAATTGTTATAAAGGCCAAAAAAATAACAAAAACAAATAACTTAAGGACGAGAACACCTAAAAGTTAAACAT